ACTTTGTTATTCATTTTGACGCACGCATCATCATGGGAACGAAGTCAAACGCGCGTGTAACTAGAAGGTTTATTATTAGGATGATTGACGAAAAAAGTGGAACCAATATAATTGTAATAGATTCAATAATTTGCAGAATGATTGAGGAACGGTTCTGTTGGTCGTGCCACACAAGAAGTAGAGCTTCAAGCAACGTTTTGTTTTACAAAGTATCCATTGACAGTAAAATGCTGAACAATGTCATCAAAAGTTTAAAGATTTTGTTTAAATTGATATAAATTGGGCTGCTGTTAATATTTCATCTAGCCATACTTCTCTAGATTTTCTAAAGCTTTTACTTACTAGTTGCATAAAGATATCTTGAACATATAAAATATTACTAAATGATGCTGATTGCAAGAAAAAAATCGATTATTGTTTTTTACATATTGTTCTAAGATATGTATCATAATCAGTGCTCTTTTTCGAGGTGTCTAGTAAGAAAGAAATCTTGCACTAGTAAATAATTATGCCTTCAAATATGATATCGAGCTTTTTTCAATAAATAGTTAGAAGAACTGTCTAAGGTATCTATAATCTTTATCTACAATACTACATATCCTTTTAAAAACTGAATTAGAATACAACTCAATTCAATAAAAAAAAAAATAGTAAAAATGATTTGATTACTATAACGTTGACTTATTTTATTTAATATAAAAAAATATTAACCACTTAAAGATCGAGTTGTTTTTTAAGTGTTAAAAGTTATTAAAAGGCATATGCTCTCTTAGATAATAAAAGTGTAAAACGCTTTGTAATATATAGTACTTTTTCCAAAAACTTACCTTTAGTTTTAACGCCTAATGAAGTAGAAGAGACTGATTTTGATATAGAGTTCAAAAAGGTAAAGACGAAGTATGTTTTTTTGAACAAGTTCCCATTAACGCATTGAGTCAGCGGCCTACATTAACATGATCTGTAGATTTGATTTCATTTTATGACTAATTTATTGTATTTAAAGACAGTATTTTAATCTTTTCACGTTGACAAATGTTCAAGTTAACATTTAATTCACTTTTCTCCCAGATAACTGGTAAATTAACAAAATTAATGCTGATCAAAAAATTGGCACAACCGTTTCCAATCATTCCTATTGTTGTGTGGCTCATTCCTGTATCTCTTCTTTTTACAATATAATTTTTTTATCAATTAATTAATTGAAATTCAATGTTTATAAAAAATGTATTAAATTATAAGTCTATACGATTCTATATGATTAAATTTAGGTTCATAATAGTTCATTTGTTTAACCAAAAATTCAACTAATTACTGGGTATTAACTTGACCTTATTAACAGAAAAGTATCGACGTAGATTGAAGGAAAAATCGCTACTTGATTTAAGTCATCAATTTTCCAAGAATAGATTGAAATAACTTAGTTATTATTTATAAAAAATATTCATAAGAAAGTAGTTAATATTGTATTATTATCATTAAAATATAGTTAATATTTTTCATAACAAATGGAAAAACAACTATTGAGTCACAAATTTACCGAATGTCCTTAATTGGACAGATGTAAATGAAATAGAGAATAAGTTAAAAACTTGATCTTAAAATTAACCATTTTTGAGGAACTCAAATATTATTTTATATAGTTATTGCATCTAATATAGGAAGTTACATATTTACCATTTGCAAAACTATAAAAAAAGTTCTCCGACCCTGGAATAAACTTTCAAAAGCCAATAGTGCTGACGAATAATCCCATTACAGTAGTATTCTATTACCGTATTAGCCGGTTTGTTATATTATTGATAAATAGTCACAAACAGTTTATATTTACTGCCTGTCCATTATTTTCGAATCATTTTTTCCCATTCACATATCCGTTATACAATGACACGAGCAAATTCGACGCTACATCAAAAATTGATTCGATATTAAATTACTTGAACTAAATAATAATCCGATAAAATACATTTAGTGACGGTACATGTTTTTCATTCAATAATAGAAACTTTCCTTTATTCAATTGCACGTAGAAATCGATTTGTAATTATAATTAATTGCGGATTTTTAAAAGGCACGTTGAAGATATTGTAAGAATAAATTATTATGGCAATCATTGAAATTTGACTAAGGAATAAGTGATAATAAAAAATAACTAGAAATAATAAGAGAAAAGTTTCATTTCATTGAAAAAAATTATTATGTTTAAGCTGCTTCTGAGAAAGAACTTTGACTCTGTATTTTGTGTAAAAACAATAGATAATTGCAAACTAGAAGCTTTAACAAATGAGTGATAATTATACCACAAATAATATAAATGTTTCAAGTAGAAATAGAAATAAAATGAAATAAACGTTAATAAGTAGAAATTAATTGATTAATATGACAAGTTATATAATAAAAAAGATGCATTAAGCATTTCTATTATCTTTCTGCCACCATAGACTATCAGCACTACATCCAAAGTTTTTGAGTGAAACATATGTTGCATCCATAACAAATTACACCTTTATTAAATCAACAATTATATATTTCCCTTTTCAAAGCTGTTATTATCATAATTTCCTACAAATTATATAAAAATTCAAAAATTTACCATAATAAACACGTATAAATCCAACCGTCAAATTACAGTAAATAACCTAATAATGTGAGACGGCGTTTTAAACCCTAATATTCGGCATCATCTTTCACCCGAATCCTACATAAAAGATAAGATCATCTGAGATAAGATCTAAACGCTCTCTTATTATATTAATAACAAGTAGCCGTCAAGACGTGCCATCTAAAGCAGAACGGATCGTATCAGATAGTGAGGGGTTTGGTGGATAGTAAAAGTTTAAAATATTATATAATTTTTAAAATTTTTTTTAATAAGGAAGACATGTGCCATAAACACCTCTCAAAAATTGAAGATCATCCTAATCAATTAATAACTTTCCTACTTAATTCTCCAATAGTGGGGTGGCTCTAAAAAAATTGGCTAACAGATTCAATTTAAAACATATGAATTTAATTTTAGATTTATCTATTTGTAAATCTTTCATTGGAGAGATTTTGTTATTAACCAATTTTAAGTAATGTAATACTAGTATATGTTAATGTGAATGTGTTTCTTTTTGTATGTATTAATTGTTTATAATCCGCCAAATAGCTTTTAAAAATTGTTTTATTTTAAGTTGCTAAATAAATATTTGAAAATATCGATTTTAAATATGACTAGTTTTATTACGTAAACATATTTTTAAATAATTTTATAAAACAATAATACAAAATAGATAATAATATAAAACACCACAAAGTTTGTGCAATAATTTTTTGAATTGCACTACAAATTTTACAAATTCAAAAAATTAATTCAAAAAATTATTTCAAACAAAAAATTTCAAATGATTTTTAATATCAAGTTTATTAGTTAGAATTTATAATAGTTTTATAAAAAAATATTAAAATTGAGGAAGACCCATACCATTAGTTTTCGTAATAAAAGTCGTGCGACCCTGATGAGTTGTATTTAATTACTATAATGTGTAAAATTTTGCACTAAATTTTAAAGTCTTAAATAAATCAATATAAGGAAAGTTTTATGAATAGTTAATTAGATAATCTATAATTTCAATTCAAAATATTTATATTCAGCAACTACTCTTTATGAAAAAAGGAACTGAACATTACTGTTAACTTTTTTAACATTTGAATTACCTGCATTTCTCATATTTAAATAATTTGTCATACTTTTGTAAAATGAGAAATAAACAATCGAATATTTTATTTTAATCTTTTTGTGTCTCGAATATATTCTTCAGAAAATAAAAAATAGAGATATACTTATTAAATTAAAAAATAATTAGAAAAAAGTTAATAAAGAGCTCTAAATAAAATAACGAATGATTAATAGTAGTATTTTTTAGAGTTTATCCTGAAATTGATCGTTTTGCTGTTATACTATAATACTGTTCTTACAAATAACAAAACTGAAAAAATAAAGTGAAATGTACCAAATATAGTACAATATCACCTATATAGAATCCAATGAATTTAATACAATATAAATCAAATCCTAAAATACTTATTTAATATGTTTGATACTTTGAGGATACTATTTTGTTATATTAGTAAACGTGTGATCAGCCCCGACATTAAAAAAGATTCTAATCATACAACGTGTGAGTGTGTTCACCGTGTCATATAATATGTATATCATAACAGCCACTGTGTTATTAAATAAAATTTATTTTTAAAGATAGTCTTTGGGACATCTTTTCGATGATACATAAAGATAAAGCGCTCTGTTGAGTGATATAAATTGTTTGGTAAAATATTCAAAAACATATGTTTTATAAACGTAGGGATGAACATATCACCGAAGCCAATATTGTAAATTCACTAATACGAATTAAAAAAACTAATTGATTTAATTAATATTTTTTACATATTTAGAAGTGAATTTATTTTGGCAAACGTGGTCTCAATTTCAATTCAAAATATATAAAAGATGAATTTTATAAAAAATTATTTTTTGCCAATATATTTCACTTGTATTAATTTATAAATTTTATTTTCGACATATATCTTGAAATAATATAATGGATTATCTGTTCTAATATAGAGCAATCTAATTTAACCGAAGTAGATTTCATGGTAATTTCTCATAAAGTTATATATATTTCATTTCCAGTTTTTGTCGTTTTGTTTCCAAGTTGGAACAATGTACTTAAATATAAACTTTTATAAAAATTAGTATTAATGTCGCCTTAAGTAGTTAAAGCAGGGCAAATCCGAACAAGTATAGCAGATATCTTTTTATAGAGCTGATAATTACAAATATCACTTATAATAAACAGTTAACAATCGTCATAATTATTATCTTAATTCAATTACATCTTGTTCTGAATAATAATAATATACTGTTTGACTAATTTTATTTTTTTTATATTTCAGTTTCCCTATCCCCCTCAATGGGCGGCGCAGGGACTTTAGCGGCCGGCGGAGCTTTATTCGGGCCTGCTGCGGCGGCTTCCGCGCACTCGTTGGGAGCGCTCGTTTCCCAACACCGACTGTTGGAATTATCACGCTTCGGTCTACGCGGTTACGACTTGGCTCAACATATGCTGACGCAACAAGGAGCAGTATCAAAACTACTGGGTAAGTTGAAATATTTAAAATATTTTTGTTTTAATTACAATGTTTATTACAACTGTTAAATAGTTAACATCTAGTAATATTGATAAATAATAATATAAATTTAAATAAATGGTTAAAATAAAAAAATATACAATATAGCTAACTGAGCTGATATATAGTTATCAAAAATATACCTGGTCTAGGAGTTTTATGAAAATCCTGATGTGGATGAAGTGATTAGATTCATAACTATCACTGTTAGGCAAAGCCAAAACATTTATTTTCAAATTAATTTTTCTTTATACGAAGGTGACTATACGTCCCGGTTTGGCCGGGACTGCCCCGGATTTTCACCTTGTGTCCCGGGTTTTTCTGAAAGCAATATTTTTGTAGGATTTAGATGTTTTGTTCCGGATTGTCCCGGGTTTCCAAAAAGTCTAGGTATAAATTACAACAATCCATCAAATACTTGATAAATGACATTTTATTTAATAAGGAGTATGCTTATATGAAACAATACGTTATGAATGAGAAAATTACCGAATGCAAAATTACAAAAGCCGATTAAAATAGTCCCTCACGTTAATAAAATCATTTTTAATATTACAAAAATTACCAAAAATGTTGAAAACAAACTTTTTGAACGCCTTACACAAGTACTAATTTTCACTAAAGTTAATTATGAAGAAAAACTTATGATATAACATAGTATATAATAGAATATTGAAGCCCTACTAAAAGTCATTTATTTTGATTAACAATATAGTCAATTAAAAAAACTGATTTTAAATCATATTTTAGATATTCAGCAAATATTCAATGACAATACCGATCCAATATAATTGGATCACTATTAGGCAAAGCCAAAACATCTATTTCCAAAGTAATAAAACCAGATTTTGATAAAGTGATTAGATTCGAAATTTGATCACTGCTAAGTAAAGTTAAAGTATTTATTTCCTAATTGATAAATCCAAATTTGGATATAATAACTAGGCAAAACCACAACACTTATTTCCAAAGTAATAAATCTAGATTTGGATATAGTGATTAGATTCGCAAATTGATCACTATTAGGCAAAATCAAAACATTTATATCCAAATTGATATATCCAGATTTGGATAAAGTTATTAGATTCGTAAGTTGGTCACTGTTAGACAAAGCTAGAACATTTAATTTGAAATTGATAAATCCAGATTTGGATAAAGTGATTAGATTTGTAAGTTGATCACTGTTCGGCAAAGCTAGAACATTTAATTTGAAATTGATAAATCCAGATTTGAATAAAGTGATTAGATTTGTAAGTTGATCACTGTTAGGCAAAGCCAGAACATTTAATTTGAAATTGATAAATCCAGATTTGGATGCAGTGATTAGATACGTAATTGCATTACTATTACGCAAAACCAAGACATTTATTTCCAAATTGATAAATTTAGGTTTGGATATAGTGATTAGATTTTTAATTTAATCACTATTAGACAAGGCAGAAATATTTGTTTCCAAATTGATAAATTTATATTTGGATATAGTGATTAGATGAGTAAATTGATAACTGTCAGACAAAGCCAAAACACTTATTATCAAATTTATAAATCCAGATTTGGATGAACTGATTACATTCGAAATGCGAACACTGTTAGGCGAATACCTTTATTTCCAAATTGATAATTTCAGATTTAGATAATGTAATTATATTAGTGAATTGATCACTATGCAAAATCAAAACATTTATTTCCTAATTGACTTATCCAGATTTGGATAAAGTGATTAGATTCATAATTTGATCATTGTTAGGCAAAGCTTTTATTTCCAAATTGATGATATAGTGATTAGATTCGTAATTTTATCATTATTAAACATAGACAGAATATTTATTTCCAAATTGATAAATGATAGAGTCCTTACATTAGTATTTTGATCACTATTAGGCAAAACCAAAACATTTATTCCGAAATTGATAAATCCAGATTGGGATAAAGTGATTAGATTCGTAATTTGATCACTCTAACGCAAAGACAAAACATTCATTTCTAAGTTAAAGGTCACCAATAAGTAGAAAATTTTAATTTTATCAATCATTCAATTTCCAAACACTGCAAATGATTCACCGTCGACAAATTTCAACTCTGTTCGACTTTTTTCTTTCGGTCATATCAAATAACGCCATGGCATTCGATCAAGCCGTGATATGAAATTTAATATAAGATTAATCGCAAACGATTTGTCTACAGTGTGGTCAATCACAAGGAACGATCAAGTGAGTTGAATGTGTTTGCTCGTCAATATCTCTTATATTTAAGATTTTTTATGTGTATGTTGAATAATTGTTCATTGGACTTTTATTAATATGGATTACGAGCAGTAAAAAATCTTTACGTGTGAATGAACCTGCAATTTTTATTTAATTTGAATATAGCGAATTTTAATATTACCTACACATAGATTATTTTGTAACTTAAATAGATTACTGTAGCCATATATGAAATACGTTGTATACATATAGAAGGCATTTAATAAAAAAAAAACGCCGTCATTAAAATGCATTTTGAATTGCACGCGGAAAAGTAAATTCTCGTTTATATTTATATCATTATATGACAATGAATCTTCCAAAATTTAATAGTGTATTCATCAAAATTGCAGGCAAAAGTGCCAGAAATTTCAGACTTTAAGCTGATAAGATAGCCCAATACGTTTTATTGATGATAAATCAAAGTAGAGCGAAACATTTAAATCAATAAGCTTTAACTTCTTGAGGGTTGAGGAAGTACTTTTTAAATTTTAGTTTAAACATAATATATCCATTATCTATCATTTTGTATTTTAAATGATACAAAAGGAAGTGTGCAAATAACACTTTCACAAAAGATTATGGAGTTTTCTCAACACTAAGAATACATATTTAATGTTTGGATGTGCATAATTTAATACGATCTGTATATAGATATGAGTATAAAAATAAACTATAGAACATATGAATAATTAATAAGTAATTCAAAGAGTTCAAGCAATCCAATTCTTTCACTAACTGTTGTTTGTTGTAATTACTATGCGATTGTTTCAAATAATCCTTTGTACATTGTTTGAAAATGTTATCCGATTATTAAATCTACAATATGGTTTTGTAACTGTTTTTTTTCTCTTCATGTGAACTAATAAATTAATGATAAATACTAATAATTTAGTATCTACTAGACATCTAAGTAATACGACGTAATACGACTTCTACTAAGGTAATTTGACGTATTCAATTTGTGATAAAAAAAATGTAGTAATAAAAATAAATTATATTATATTTTAATATTTTTAATAAAATACTACCAAGAAATTTTTATTTCCTTCAATGATCTTTTCGAAACATCCTGAAATTATTAAAACATATATAATTTTACACATAATATGCTCAAATTATTCATACATAAATATAAACTTGGGCGAATGAAGCAACTAAATACATCATATGACTGCATAATTTGTTGAGAAATTATAATAATTTATTATCATTGATAATATAATAAATACTTCAAGGTGTCCGTAATAAGTAGGTTTAAAATGTTTATAGTTTATAATTTGTGTAATTAAAGTAAATTATTTTATAAAAGATAAAATTTATTATATGTATGATAGAATGGTTTAAATAATACACGTCTTACTAAATTGAATCAGATTTGAGAATTTAAAAAAATAGTTAGAACATTAAACATTTTAACTAGATCAGATTGATAAGTCTGAACATCTATTGATTGATTATTTTCCTTTAATTTTTTATGGTGATTTAACAATTTGGTTTAAATAGGTTTTTGGTAAATATTATAATTTAAACAAAAAAATAAGAGAAAAAAGCCAGTTCATAGTATTATTTAACAAAATTAAATTAATTCAGTTACTTATCACTTGACACAGAAAATTAGGCTATAAACGTACATTTATAAATATCACCTGTTGCTAACAGGTAACCCTTTACTCAATTTATAGTGACATTTTGCAATTGCGTCGAAATTCTTACAAATTATTCTTGAAATTGTATTACGACCGTTTGTTTCAACCGCTCATATAAATTTTGAGGTATTAGTTGAGCATCTAGAAGCACTTGAATAATTTAACAAAATATGATAGGAATGCAAAATTGAATATTGAATATTGAATACAAGCTAGTTCTAGATCAAGAACTTATTATTGAACATTACTATTGAACATTACTATTAAATATTGAACAAAGAATTAGAATTCAAAACTGAAAAAGTAAGGATGCTGCTAATTATTGACTTTATGCAAAGGGTAAAATGTAATAATAAACACAAGCTAGTACTAATTATTATATAGATTAAAATATCCCTATTAGTTAATTTGATTTGTTTGGTTAATTATGAATATCAAAAACATCTTTATATTAGGATACGCCAGGGTCCGTCAAATAACTATGAAAAATATGAAAAAACTACTAAATATATTATTATTATATTATTCAATTATTATATTATTCAATTTCTTTTATAATATAATCCTTCTGGTTAATAAATTAAATATTTTTATTCTAATGGTTACCTTAGTACGTATTCAGTAATTTTAAACATAATTAATATTTGATTCGAAGATTTAGTTTTCAATATCGGATATTTTTGAAACTAAATAATTTTTTAATTTTTTTTAATAAAATGTAAATTAAATCTTGTAAAAATCACATCATTGAGAATATATAATTTAAAGTTATTAGCAAATCAATGTTACATTCGACTTCGAACATTACTTACATTCGACCCTTTGAAATTCAATAAATTTTTAGATTTAGACCCATGACGAAAATGACATTTTTTATATTTCTATTATTCAAAATATAAATTGAATTAATAATTGCACAAATTACGTCGTTACTCTATTAGAATACACATGTTATAGAAAAGTGCAGATTAAAATTGCACCAAATTCTCACAAAAAACTTTTTGTAGAAGTTCGAGAAGTATTTGTACAGAACCTTCCATAAAAATATCACGTTTTATATTTTTAATATTTAAAGTAT